AATTAAAAAATGGGCAAAGGACTTGAACAGACATTTCTCCATAGATGATATATAAATGGCAAACAAGCATATGGAAGATACTTGACATCACTAATCACTAGGAAAATGCACACCCAAACCAGAAAGAGATATCACCTCACACCTCTCAGGATGGCTACTATTTAAAAAACATATATATATATATATACAAGTGTTGGCAAGGATGTGGAGAAATTGGAACCCATTGTTGATGGAATGTAAAATGGTATAGCCACTATGGAAAACAGTATGGAGGTTTTTAGAAAATTAAAAATAAAATTACTGTATGATCCAGCAATTCTACTTCTGGATATATATCCAAAAGAATTTAAAACAGAGTCTCAAAGAGGTAATTGTACAACGACCATGTTCATAGTAGTAGGGGTTCACAGTAGCTAAAACCTGGAAGAACCCTGGTGTCCATTGATGAATGAATGATTAAACAAAATATGGTATATACATACAATGTCTATTGTCCAGCCTTGAAAAGGGAAGACATTCTGATACATGCTGAACATGGATGAACCTTGAGGACATTATGCTAAGTATTAGAAGCCAATCACAAAAAGGCAAATACTGTACAATTCCACGTATATGAGATTATCTAGAGTAGTGAAATTCATAGAGACAGAAAGTGGACCAGTGGTTGTCAGGGGCTCAGGGGAGAGGGAAATGAGGAGTTGTTTAATAGTTTTAGAGTTCCATATTTACAAGATGAAAAGTTTTGGAGACTGTACAATAGTGTGAATATATGTAACACTACTGAACTGAACACTTAAAATGGTTAAGGTGGTAAATTTTATGGATAGTTTGCCACAATTTTTAAAAATGAGGAAAAAACAGCAGGGTTTCTGGTTACAAAATCTATAAAATATTGACATAAATAAGATGTGTATATTCTTTATGGACAAGAATTTATAACTTTATTGAAAGACATTAAAGAAGGCTTAATACATGAGGAGATGAGCACATTCATGAAAGGAATGTTTGGTATTTAAAGATACTCCTCTCCAAAATTATCTGTATATTTGATCAGTTCCCATCAAAATCCCAACAGGATTTTTTTGTGTGATAAATGACAGTCTGGTTTTAAAATTTAAGTGGAAGTACAAAGGCTCCAGAATAACAAAGTACTCCTAAAGAAGAGTATAAGTTTGGGACACCAGTACTATCCGAAAAGACAACAGGGAGCTATAGCGATTAAGTCATTATGACACTGTACAGTGGTAGAAATAGACTATCTAGTAGGAGAATTAGCCATATAGAATAAAATTGTGTTCTTTCCTGACACCTGTCAAAAAAAGTCAGTTACAAGTAAATTCAAACTTAAAAATGAAAGAAAAAAATCACAAAACCTTAGAATACAATGTGGGAGAATATCTTTATGACCTCAAAGAGGGAAATACTAAGATACAAAAAGCACAAAATGTAAAGGCGAAGATTAATAAATTGGGACTACAACTATATTTAAAGGTGACCATTTGTCAAAAACAATAGAGTGAAAAACATTTCTTAGAGTTGTTTCCAAGCTGTAACTTCCTGAGGATTAAAATACAAAAAATAGAAAGAACTCTTACAAATCAGTACGAGAAAGGTAACCAAGTGAAACACTATGCCAAAGACAGTAACAGACATTTCACAGAAGAAGAAACACAAATGGCTCATAAACATTGGGAAAGATGCTCAATCTTTTTCATAACCAGGGAATTGTAAATTAAAACCATAATACCATTTATCACTCACCAGATTGGCGAATGTTAAAATATCTAACAATAACAAAGGGTTGGCTAGAATGTGGAGATTCAGGAAGTCTCTCACACAGCCAATGGGAGTGGAAATCAGTGTAACCACTTTGTAAAAACAAGTTGGCATTGCCTAGTAAAATTAAATGTGCATAACTTATGAACCAGTAATTCCACTCTAAAAGAACTCTTACACATGGTCACCAGAAGACATGGACAGGAAAGTTCATAACAACATTGTGAGTGAGAGGGAAAAAACTGGAAACAACCCAAGTGTTCATCAGCAGTGGAATGGCTATGTAAATTATGATATAATTAAGCAATGAAATAAGCAGTGAAAAAATTACAGTTATGTGTACCAACACGGATGAACTGTAACAATTTTGAGTGGAAAAAGCAAGTTGCAGAAAAAAATATATGTATAGGTTTTAAACAGGCATTAAGTAGATCATTGTTATGTATACATAATTGCTAAAATAATGAAGTCATGGAAATTATTAACATAAAATCCAGGGTGCTGGTTACCAGGAGAGGAGCAGGTGTGAGGGAGTGGGCTGCATTAGCATCAGGGCCCGCAGTGAGGCCTCAGAGTGACTATCATGTTCCATTTCTTGATTTTCATTTCTTTGTTTTATAATGTGTTAAGCTGTACATATACATTTCATACACTCTTGCATTTTTTTAAAATTGTAGCCTGTAGTATTTTTAAGAGACGGGAGGAAATGTTTTGAAAGTAGATAAAGTGAATTAGGTATTGGAAATGCACAAAGATTAAAAATTATCACCTAAAATGTTTGGTGGAGTTCTAATTTTCTAAGTTAAGACCTCCATATGCCAGTTTTGGATCAAATGAGGGGGAATGTAGAGAGACCTAAAGCATGTCTGGGATAGCAGCTTGACGTGTGGAAGACGCAGGTCCCTGGACCTGGACTGCCTTTCTTCTTCCCTTACGCCTTCTTCACATTGTAAATATTTAGTGACTTGCAAGTCCTGGGCATTGTCCAGAGAGGTAGTAGCTCTATTTTGGTGCTTATAGCAGTTTTTGAACTTGTGCATACAGGCTTTGTTAATCTTAGCCTACTAAACTAACTGCAGCAAAATTCACTTCAGGTCCATATCAAATTCACTATTTCAGATCTTTTTAAGGAAATCATTTACTGACATGCTTAGACAACCTAATTGAATATGTATCTTTAAAATTTTCAAGGTAATACCTGTTTTAGTTTGGCCCTAACCCTTTAGTATTCTGATTCCTATATATATTTATTCCCATTTTTTTCTTTTCTGTACATGTCAGACCTCTGATGTACTCTGATTATTTGGAATTGGCTTTGACTTATTGATTTTACCTTTCTAGCTATAACTTTTGAGACTCAAAATTGAATCTAATCTTAAATTTTGATTTAAAACAGTATTTTCAAAAGAATAATGGAGCATAGTGCTAGAGACTATTAGGTGGCACAAAGGGAAACATTTTTCATTATAATAATCGAGTAGTTATTTTAGTTCTTATTATAAAATACATTAAACCTTTGCTTTCATGGCTGTTACAGCTCAGGATGCAGCTAACGTAGTCTCATCTCATATAGCCTCAATTAAGGACTCATATGGTTCTCAGATATAGCAAAAAATGATGAAATTAATACATGGATTATAGATGTAGTGTTGTAAAGGTGAATTAAGATATCCCTGATGTCCTCTGTCTCTTAGTTGTATCATAACTCTCAAAAATAAAATTGGCATGGTTTGGTCAGGAAGAACAATCTAGAAAATCAGCAAGGTGAATAATTTGTTCAAATAGGACAGGTTCTGGAAATACAAAGATGAGTATGGTGCTTTCAGTTAACTGAGCTGCTTGTCATTTATGCTGGTATGAGGTGTAAGGTGAGGAGAGATAGGGGCAGATAAGAAAGCTCTTGTTTGGAATGGGATGGTCTGTTTTTGGATCTTATTTTATGAGTGATTATCAGCCTTCGAAAGATTTTATGCAAAAAAGTGACTTGAGTTCTGGGGGCAGGGTGAAGAATCGGTCACATTGTAGATAATTCTTGGGCAAAGGAAAAATGGAGAGCAGTTAGAGGCAAGTTCATAATTTCCACTTTGTTTAGCTTTATATAATTTCCAGGAAATTATATTACACTTTTCCCAGAATTTAATATGTTGAAGGGGATAGTGGTAGGTGATTTGGAGCCAATATAGGAAGTTTCTGAAGAAAATGGTGTTTTCCAGTCTGTACCATTAAGCAAGGTATTTACTTTCCCTATATTGTCTTAAAGGCCAAACAGATTTTTAAGTATTTTGTGTTAAAATATATGCAAGCAGCATATCAAAGTTAACTGGAGATGTGGTTTTGATGAGGCACAGAACTGCAAACAAGTTCTATATTCCAGTGGTATATATGGTGATAACTGCAGAAGCAGTGGAATGACGTTTAAATTTTTTTGCAGTGAATATCCTGTCATGACATACTCAGACAACAGCATTATTTAAAGGGAATTGGGTGAACAATAAAATCAGTATATGGAGAACCTTGATTAGTATGGGTTTCAGGCATAAATGTTCTACTTAACTGTGGCATATTGTTCACTTTTGTACATACTTACTGTTGAATCTTAGACTTGATGGTCTTTGGTATGTATGATTCTGCCTTCCAGAGAAAAGTATTAGTGTGCTAGCTTATTTTTGTACCTTCCACATATCATAATTTAGAGTTTCCTGTGTATGTGAACATACTTATTTGTGTCTGTATACATAAACCCTTAATACCAAATGTTCTCCCTTAGGTTTTCTTGGGAATCTTCTCTTAATTGAAATGTTTGGGGATGTGGCTTAGCTAATTTGCTAACACTCAAAAGCCGTGAGTTTTTAACATTATCTTAGCCTTTTAGCATTTCAGTCCAGCAAAAATTTCTGGCACTGTTGAGGAATTAGTTATAACATCTTATCAAAAATGATCCAGGAGTGTCAAAAGAGGGAGTTGATGCAAAGGGCACAGAGAGAGATTCAAAAGTGAAGTTAACATTAACTTGATGGTGTGACTGCATAGTTGTAATGAGGGAGTAGCGCAGAAATGAAGGACCACAAATAACCTTGGAACAACTGTAGGTTCCTTTCTGCATGGCCCACTAATGTTGATTATAATGTAACTTTGTATTTGAAAGGATGTTTCCCACAGTTCTTGTCACCAAGTTCTTTTGAAGATTCAACTCCTTATTTCCCTTACTTTCTGCTTTGACACAGAAATCCCCTGCAAAGAAGCTGAGCCATGCAATTAGTAAATCTTTGGGATGTGTACCCACCAGAGAACCCCCGCATCCTGTTTTTCCTGAGCAACCAGAGAAACCACTTGACCTTGCAAATATAGTGTAAGTATATACTGATATGTATAAAGATTATGCTGAAATGGAGACATTGCTGAATTCTTTTGGATCAAAACCATGTATCACCTAATGTGAACACCTAATTTAAATTTCTCTGGTTTTTACTTAACATTTGGGGAACTTAAGACTTCAAGTTTTCATCCCTTTAAGCCACCATAACAACCTACATGAAACCTAGCTCCTGAGTCCTGAAGCCTAAGTCATATAGTGGTCTCCAAGAGAAACGTTAATACATTGCAGAGCAGTTACTGGTTTCAGCAGATTGCCTTTTTTGGTTTCTTCCTTTAAATCCAGCAGTAGAGATTTTTTCTTCTCTACAGCAACAATACCTGTAGAAATTTAAAAAATCAGTTTAGCCAACATGGAAATGAAAAGCAACCTAATTTGCCCTTCTTGTATTAAGAGAAAATAGGAAACACAAGACTGTATTCTATAAATAAAATGGGTGTTTTATTTTTCATTGAATATTCATGCTAAATAAAAAGCTAGAGGGGAACAAAAAGTTAGAGAAATAGAGGAAAAGTAAGGAGGAGGAGAAACCTTGAAGGATAAGACTCAGCCTCTAAACTGATCTCTTTAGTCTGAGTGAAATGTTGTGTTAGGTGTACCTTGCTGGATTCAGCTGGCAGGTTTTTTGATCCTTAGTCTTTATCAGCTGTTTAGAAGTTTTCGTGTTGGAATAGATACCCATTTTCTTTTACCCACCTGAAAGTGGGTAGATTGCCCAACAAGCTCTTAGGACTCTTGATTTTTGCTTTCTCTCTTTGATTCAGTAATTTTAAAACCTTTCATACTTACTGAAATAATACACACCTGTAGATTAAAAATTCAATAATACAGAAGAGCATGTAATGAAATGCAGCACATCCTCCTTACTTCATTGTGGTGTGTATGGGTTTTAGGTTTATCTACTAGTGGGTACCTCTAAGTTAAATATTTGGAGCACCATTTTTTGACCTAACAGTTTTGGATGCTGCCGTTTTCCTTCTGTGGTACAAGGAATCAACCTCATAACTCCCCATATCAAACTGTCTCAGTTTTTCATAATTACATCACCATTTTTTAAGTTGCTTACCTTTGTAAAAACTTTTAAATACTATTCTTAAACCTCTATTTCTTGTAACTTCTTCAACTAATTTCCAACTAAACTGAGGAAATTAGTACCTTCTATTTCTCCCTTCTCCTTTTGCCTCCTAACGTCTGTCATCTATGCATTACTTTTATATTGTCAAATCTGGTAATATTTCTGTTCTCTTCTGTGACCATAACTAAGTCCTCTGAGATTTACTAAGAGTTAAATCTCAAAGTTGAAAACCAAACCCAGCGCTGACAGTTAATATCATCACAAAGTCAGACTGTGTGCTGTGATTCTGTGTGTCTCTTTGTGTAGTTCCAGTGTCATATCCCTGTGAGGTCATTCACTCATCAGAGTGCTTACACACCAGGACTGCTCAAAATCATGCCTGTTGATTGGTAACTGGAGTGACCTTCTTGTACTGTTTTACCTTCAGATCACATACCTACAGTCCCTAACAGCTCCAGTAGATGTCAGGCATATTTCCTTGACCAATTTATTGTGTCCCTCTTCTGGTAAGTTGAGAACATTAAGAAGGATTTTCAAATAAATCTCAAGCAAAACCAATTTACTCACCGTCAACAATCTAGCAACTTTTCTTACTAATCCAACTCTAAGAGAAATTATTGTTTCTTTTGGTCAAAACATTTTATAAAACTTCTAGCTCTTGATGTCTCCAATAGACTTTCTGCTAGTCTAATTCAAGCAGTTTGCTGTTGCTCAGAATCTAATTACCTAGCCACATAGTCCTTATATCTAATTTCTTTAATTAGTGGTTTAATAACCATTACATTTCAGTTTATGGTTATTTCTAAGTGAAAGTATAAGTTCCTGATGTTGGCTTAGTTATTTATTCCTCTGAATTTCAGAAAGAAAAAGCATGACCAGTGTTCTATGGGACACCCCTGTAATTGATCTATTCTCTTAAACAGTGGTTGGCAAACTATAGCCCAAAGGTTAATTTCAGCCTGTCACCTGTTTTTGTATGGCCTATGATCTAAGAATAATTTTTATATTTCTGAATAGTTGAAGAGAAATAAACAGAATAGTATTTTCTGAAAATTATTTGAAATTCAGATTTCAGTGTCCATAAGTAAAGTTTCACTGGGACAGAGCCATCCTTATTCATTTGTATATTGTCTATGTCTGCTGTTGGGCTTCAATGGCAAAATTGAGTCTTTGTGACTGAGATTGTATGACTCTCAAAACCTAAAATATATACTGTCTAGCTCTTTGTGGAAAAAATTTGCCAACCCCTACTCTTTTTTTAAAAAAATTAAAGTATTGTTAATACACAATCTTATATTGGTTTCAAATGTACATCACAGTGATTCATCAGTCCCTGTAATTGCAAATTATTGTGCCCCTTTATTATCCTCCTGTCCCTCCCCCTTGGTAACCACTAGTCACTTCTCGGTGTCTATGAGTCTGCTGCTGTTTTCTTCCTTCTACTTTGCTTTGTTTTTGTATTCCACAGAGCCAACCCTACTCTTAAAGAAGGGTTGATAGAAAGTACAAATTTAGGGCACTTTGTGCTTCTTAATTCTCCTTTTCTCTGAATGCTCATCATATTCTTCGATGGTCCAGGTTGTTTTTTCCATCCAAGGGTGAAGGTTTAATTGGTAACTTCTGTTGAAGCATTTGGATAAAATTTGTTACCTAGAAGCCAGACTGCCTTCGTAATTGCTTCTTGCTGCTTATGCATATAAAATATGGAGCGTGTTTGAACAACTAAGCCAACCAGTTTTCTCCACACCTTGCATCAAAACAGAATTAACCTAGACAATGAAAAATACTGTTATTTTAATTATAATTGTAAAATAATTAAAGTAATACTTTAATATGGATCTTATTTGTTCTATTTTAACAGCTCTGCTGCTTAATACTCAGACTCTATATATGCATTACTTTGATTTGATCAAAACATACCTGTCTTTTGTTATTTTTTTTCCTATATCAACCTCATAGATTTTTTACTTTTGACAGCTGTACTTGAAACATGCGGTACTTTCAGTGTTTGTGAACTTTTTAATATAACATGAAAATTCTGCCCATTTTATTCTTATTCAAAATGACTTCAAGTAGAAATTCACCAGACCAGGAATAATGTAAGACCATTTGTAACCCTGTGAAAAAACAAGTCTAACTTCTTGTTTGTTATTTAGTTATTAAAGCATATTTTTGTGATGCTTCTTTTAAAATGATGGATGAATCTAGAGTTGTACATGGCTTTTTGTGGCGGGGGTGCTTCTGGCTAATTATCCTATGCCAAACTGAATGCCTCATTGTTTGCAACTTTCTTTAATAAGCCAAATTTGTTGTTTTTTTTCTTTTTCAAGGACAGTTATTAACTGGCTTCACTGTATTCCATATAAATTGTGACATGTTATAGAATTGATAATATTGGTAAGTTAGTCTAGATTGCAGTCGCTCTCTTCCAGAAGCCATTTACTGACTATGTGTTGTGACTGGAGCTTTGTGCTTGGTGCTGAGAATAGAGTCTTAGTTGAGGAAACTGACAAGACAATACTTTACTCTTAGATGGCTAAGTGAATCTGATGTTCTAGTCACTTGAAATCAAGACTATCAGATCCATTCTAAATGCCTTCATCCCTGAGACCGAACCTATTTGGAAAGTTATAATTTTGAGCTATTTCTAACAGGTAAGTATTATACTTTGATTCTTAGATCTTAGCTTATCTGATACTAATTCTGTCTTGCATTTTGCTACAGTGGTTTTGAAAAACCTAGGCATTGTGCCATAATCTACTTGCCAGCGGGCCATCAGACACCTCAAATTTCAGGTCTATCTAATTTGACATTTTGAGAAAAGACAAGTTGCTTTTCAATCACCTATTCATACACCCAGGAATGTGAAGGTTCTTACAGCTCTGAGGTCGTAATTCATCTGATAGGAATTCTATCTTATATTTTGCTGAGGTGTTTTGAGAACCTAGCAGCTGAAGAATTCAGGATTCTCTTAAGTCTTTGAGCTTCCTTCAGTCCTGGTCTGGTTCCATTTCAGGCTGAAGGTCCCAGATAATCATTCTCTTGTGGGCTTAGAGTTGCTTGCTAACCCTGGGAATACATCTCTCCAAAAAAGAAAGATGGAGCACTGAGAGCAGTGTGTTACTGAAGGTTGAGAGTCATGTGTCATGTAAGATAGTCCCAAGAAATAGGATGTTTTTTTTGCCTGAATGTCAGTGTGTGGGGGTGTTGGGGGTGGGTGGGGTGGGGTGGGTCTGGCATATACTCAGGAACCCACACATGTGAGTATGTATGTGCAGTGCCTGTGTGTGTGTGTGTGAGTAATAGAGAGGGATGGTCAGGTGAACAGCCAGTGTGGCAATTGGTGATGATGCAGTAAGGAGAAACAGCATTATTTAACACAATAAAACTCAGGGAGTAATCCTAGGAGGGTAATTATTTACAAATGGCTGTGACTTTAGTCTGCTGAGTTTCACCCTGCTCTTGGGATTTTTCTCACTCTGTTTACCACTATACTACTGTAATCACTCTGCTTTTAAACTCTAAATCTAGCCTAGCCCAAACACCCATCCCCGGGTTTTACTTTCTTTTTTTAAAATTGCAGTAAAATACAAATAACATAAATTTACCCTCTTAACAATTTTAAAGTTTTCAGTTTAGTAGTGTTAAATATATTTACATTGTTGCAAAACAACTCTCCAGTATATTTTCAACTTGCAAATCCAAAATAATATATCCATTAAACATCAGCTACCCTTTTACCATGAGCCCCTGCTAACCACCATTCTACTTTCTGTTTCTATGAATTTGAGTACTTTGTATATCTCATATAATTGGAATCATTGTTTGTGTGCCTTTTTGTATCTGCCTTATTTCACTCAGTATGATGACCTCAAGGTTCATTCATGTAACAAATGTCAGGATTTCCTTCCTTTTTGAAGGTAGAATAATATTCCGTTGTATGTATAGACCACATTTGTTTGTCCATTCCTTTGTCTATGGATATTTGGGTTGCTTCCATCTTTTGGCTATTCTGAATAATGCTGCTGTGAAGACGGGTATGCAGATATCTCTTTGAGACTGCCTTAAGTTCTTTGGGGTATATACCCCGAGATGGGATTACTGGGTGATATGGTAATTCCATTTATAATGTTTGAAGAAACTCCATACTGTTTTGCATAACAGTTGCACCATTTTACATTCCCACCAACATTGCAAGAGTTCCAGTTTCTCCACATCCTCACCAACACTAATAATTTTCTGGGT